TGTGTAATTCCTTGAAACAGCGTCCATACTGGGGTGTGTATTTTCACCGACTGATGTGAGATAAACCCGACGCTTGTATCAATCAATCAAGCATTGCCTGCCAAATCAGATGATTCGTTATGTTCTGGTGTTGGGTGCATTGGCCTGATCGGATGAAAAGTCTTGCAGGGGTAGGATATACGGATCCATGAGGGGCATGCGGCATGCTGAGTTTATGTGGCCGGCCTATACCTCTTGACTTGGTTTGATGCAGTCAGGAAATTTACGGTTTTTCCTGATGTGATAGTTGTTGTGGGAAGAACCCTGAATAAGTAACCAGTCAATATAACGGTGCGGTACCCGATGACGTCTGACTGTGCACAGGTTGAGCCTGACCTTGAATACGTCACTCTGGATGATAAGTGAACACTACTCTGTGTTGTAATGGGCGTGTGCATTTGGAACTGTTCAGGCTTGGTAGTTAACATGTGACATTCTCCAAACTAAAAGCCTGCACTTCACAACAGTCCCCCAGGATCATTAGTTGTGTTCTTATCGTGTTTATCACTTGTATTTGTACTGTTTTTTTAATTGACTGTGTTTGCAAGTGTTACTGTTATTGTTATTGCTTCGATTGCCATTCATCTTCCTCGTCATCTTCGGCACAGAACATAACATGTCTGGAGCACACGTCAAAAAGCAGATGCGGCCGCTTCAAGCGGGCTCCAAATCTTAGCAATTGTGGAGATTGTCCATGCCTCCATCACAGCGCAGGAGGCCCCCCTTGGCCTCCCGGCCCCGCCTCCGCACTGAAAAGAAAAGAAAATCAGAGCATACAGAATCCGCGTTGCCATGGAAGGATTCCGACATGCAAGCCGAGTCTAGAGCACGATTTCCGATGCTGTTGCTAGCACCGTCATTGTCACTCCGCAGTGACCGCTTCCTCGAAACAGGCAAAATGGGTGTATGAGATATCATGGCAAGATTGGCCCCAAAACCCTACTGCAGCTGTCTTTGACTCGCTGCAGGCTACAATAGCGTGGAAATCGAGGGAATGGGAGCCGTGTGCTGCGAGAACCAGGACAATGATGGTCAAACATGCAATGGAATAGTCGCTGGGCTGCAGTCGACGGGATTGTTCAGTCATGCATCTACTTTTTAGTCTAGAGGGTTTACGGTCTAGGGGTGTAGGATCCCTAATATTGGCTACCGACATGGACGTTCGTCGGGCCAGCAAATAAAAATCCTTTGATTAAGGATTCAGGGTTGGCCTCTCGAAGGAGAAGGATATGTCCAATAATTGTATTTATGATAACAGCAACAATAGTAATAATAGTAGGAGTAAACATTACAAACAGTGGCCAGAATTACAATCACAATTAGCTTGAGCATTTTCGGCATTGGAAAATAACTGGCTTGGACGACCCTCACCATCCTTGTTAGCCAACTCCGGCATTTGCGTTCCCTAAGTGCCGCTTCTCTTGTTATCCTTTGGATTTAGGGTTTAGGGATTAGGGTTTAGGGTTTAGGGTTTAGGGTTGATGCCTTTGCTGTAGATGCCGTGGGAGCAAATCACATTGAAGAGCTGGTTTCCACCACATACGATCAACGAGTCGCGCTTTCGAACCATGTGGATCGAACAGATCAGGCCCAAGAAAGGGTGCGAACTTCCATAGCATGCTTTGTCACATTCTTGCAGTGCAAAATGAACGGTGCCCCTTTTCCACATAACTCAAGAAACCAAGGCAGTCGTCAAGGCAACCGTGTTAAGATGTTCATGCATCGTGCACCTAGACCCTCCAGACCTTAAATACCCATTAGTTGGGACCGCATGCCCCTGTTTTGAGGGTACAAGAAGGGTTCTGGCAGTTGGTCCATCGGAAAAGGTTCATCGTGATCATTACTGTTGCCACCGTACGGGTGCAGAGCAGAACGAGATCGGGGTTTAGGGTTTAGGGGTTTAGGGAATCCACAGGTGCAGCGGAAGTCGGAAGGGAACAAATGGAGTTTTGCTCTTGCGAAACTCCCACGACCTGTCGGGCTACTGGCGAGTCATTATGTCAAGATTCGCCAGTAACACCATGGACCGGCTTGTTCCATTGTTGCAGCATAGCCTTCGGCAGGTCAGTGGCATCTATGCAGTGGTGCCAACACATAGGCCACCATGGCCACTCATGCGTAAACTGTGGCCAGTCGCGCCGAGAAACTCAAACCGCGGGCACTCCAAAGCAATCCGTAAACCCTATGAGCCCTAAATCGTGTGTGTGTGCACCATGAGCATGTTCACACGCGTGCTACTTGCATGGATGTGCGGCGGCAAGGGCTTGTCTCCCATAACTGTAATCCGAATCCCAAACCTTGCTCTGACTATGAAGGCTTGTCTGGGTTGTGTACGGTGCAAGAAGCACGTTACGGAAGACTATAGACCTTTGCAGAAGCTAAATCTGATAAACACTTTAAACCCTTACACCCCTACACCCCTAACCCTAAACCCTTAAACCCCAAACCCTTAAAAACCCCTAAAGCCCCCTACCTACTCCCTATAAACCCCCTTAAAACCCCTTATAAACCCCCCTAAAACCCCTTATACCCCCCCTAAAACCCCCTAAAAAACTAACACCCCCTAAAAAAACCCCCTGTAAACCCCGAAATCACCCTATAAACCCCCCTATAAACTTCCTTAAAACCCCTATAAACCCCCTTATAAACTCCCTTAACACCCCCTATAAACCCCCCTTAAAGCCCGTTATAAACCCCCCTATAAACCCCGCGAGAAACCCCCTAAACTCAATTTCTGGCGACTGGGCCTCTGGGAGTTGCGTACGTCTTGCACGGCGGAGTCGGGTGTTCCGGGTTTAGGGCTTAGGGGTTTTAGGGGTTTAGGGTTTGGGGTTTAGGGTCTAGAGGTTTAGGGTTTAGGGTTTTACGGTCACGTCTGAACACGAAGTCCTAAATGCTTAGGGACTTCTGTTCTAGGGTTGTGGTGTAGGCTGAGGCGAAAGGGAGTGAGTGAATTCAGTGAACCCAATGCATATGATGTACGTAACTTCGAAACTAACTCACACAAAACCCATCTGCAGCTCCTGAATAGACTTAGAGTTCTCAACCACAAATGCTAACTTCTCACCCTGGAAATTCTGGAACCCTACCTGCCCCCTATTGCAACGCTTGAGTACCTACTGACGCGGAAAATGCGAGGCACCCTTTAAAGCGTACTTGTTGGTTCCGACGAAGCCTAAACTTCCAAAACCGCCGCCCCGTTAAGGAAAGCCAGGAGCACGCCAAACTCCGAAGCCCCAGGGCCAGACCTCGAAAGTCCCTAAACCCTTCATAATCACAGTTCCTAATATAGAAACCCTACATAAACCCTACATAGGTACTTTGGGCACTATGCGACCCTAGACCCCTAAAGACCCTAAGCAACCCAGGAAGTCAAGTACCATCCTGAGCTTTAAAGACGCTGAAACGGGACCCAGTGAAGCCACAAACCGCCTGAGAACGCCGACCAGGCCGACTTTGAGCTTGCCGGCAAAGACAGGAGAGAAGCCGCCCCGAGTGGTTTAGGGTTTAGGGTTTAGGGTTCTTTCTAAATGGTTTGGCATTTAGGGTTCAGGGGTTGGGATGAGTCGCTGCGTGCATTCTGAAGACTAGAGGATGTGGATAAGTGATGCTTCAAGGTCCTGGCTTCTACCTTACCAAAGATTCTAATCAAAGAACATATCACCGACCTTGGACTTTCAACCGATGTATACATGGCATATGCCTACCTTGGGCCGGGTGAAGTGAAGGTTTAACCCCGGAACCCATTGCCCTTGCTATCAGCCACAGTTAGGGATGACTTGGAAGGGAAGTTCATGGTCAAGAGTTTGGCAGGAAACCCTGACCCCTAACCCCTCAGCCCCTAAACCCCTAAACCCCTAAACTCTGAACACCTAAACCGATGTTAGATTTCAGTGTTTCGGTCTTCACGGGGTTTTGCACGTCGGGGCGTGGGCGTAGGGATTTAGCACTTCACAGATCTGGATCTAGAGTGTTGTGTTGTTTGGAAGGGCTCCTAAACAAGATTTCCGGGTGAGATCATTTACTTTGAGGTACCTTCTGACTTTAAATCATCACTCTCATACCAAGGCTCCGAGACAGCTATGACGCTACCCAACCCGAAACCTGAAACACCCTGCCAGTGTTTCTTGTCTGGAGGCTGCAGATACAGTGTGCTCCGGGGACGTTTGTTGCATGGGCTACCAGACGTGCAACCAGGGCGAAGCCCGAAACGTCTCATCGATTTCTTGCAAAGGACGCTACGGCTTCGTGTTGGATGTGTGCAGATTGGGCCCCTAAAACCTAAACCCGACAGAAGCTCTATGTAAACCCTATCCCTTAGCATCAAAATAGCCCAAAAGCCTCATATAATAGGGTCTTTGGGCCCAAAAGCCTTAAAATATGAGTCCTTCGATGCTAAGGGTATAAAACCCTAAACCCTAAACTATGCTTGGAGAATCGGGCAGGCTCCAAAAAACAAGTACTGCCTTGGTCGCTGATAAAAGCTGCAGCGGTCTCGGGTTGAGACTCTTAGTGTATGGGGATGTTAAAGGTTTGAGCTTCGAAAGCACAGTTCATACTAGTGCCCGGACTCTCGTGTAAACCTTTCGAGGTTTGAAGATCAACAGACAAGTTCAATCTGTCTGGCTTCGGAATGTCAGGATACGAGACGTGCGTCCAGTGGAAGACCTATTTGAGCGGAGATGTGGTCTGCGACGCCGATTCCCCGACGGAGTTTCCAGGCGACAACCACGGCGGCACCTGTGCGAGCAGCGGCACGGAGTTCCATTTCTCCGAGGGAGACGGCACGCACTGTGTCCAGTGCTTGGCCCAAAGTTCATGCCAGGCTGCCAACTGGTTTTTCCCAGAAAACGCCAATGTCTATTTCTTCTGCCGCGATGGTGAAGGAGGCGATGCCTGCGAGGCGATGGTAGTTACATTGCAGGCCGGTGCCTGCATCGAGTTCAACCTCACCCAGGGGTCCGGTGAAGGCGAGATTAGGGTGAACCGGGGAGGCAGCGGCTCGAACCAGGCACTTTGCTTCTAGGCTGTTTGTAGTACACTTCAAGCTTTTCGCGGTGCCGTTGCTGAGAATCATCACATTTGATGTGTGAGCTGTTTCAGCAATGAGCCTCAAGCCCCGAGCCCTAAGCAAGAACAGTCCAGGTTTCTTTACAGCGACGGACCAGGAGTCAAGCACTACCTGGGCCGGGGACGGTTGCACACAAAGAGACGACGGCTCCAACAATTGCAACAGCAGGTGGACACCCGGTTGGCATTGGGAATTCCTGTGCTGACCTCTGGACTCAGTTGCTATGTACTCCTGGTGTTGATATTGGTGATGACGACAGTGATAGCTAGGAGGTCCGAGGAGGGGATCCGGAGCAATGACGAGGACCCGAATGCTGCGATGTTGAAGGCTCCGAGGGGTGAAGAGGATGATGGTTGAACAGAAGAAGCAGATTGCTGCTGCTGATGATGATGATGATCGGGACAAGCATGACCAGGATGATCATGTTAGGGCGGTGGCGCGACAAGTTCGTGCAATCTATGAACTTGTCAATTGTATTTCTCTTGTTCAGGGAACATATGCTAGTTGAACGCCCGATCCTACGTGGTGTTTACAGCAACGCGAACCAAGGGCCGGCAATGTGCCAAGCTGTGTAGACCGGCTTTGCTGTGAGATTCCCGTTGCAGCCGGACAGCGGTTGGAGCAGTACACGAATTGCAGCGCATGCTGCACACCCAAACCTCCTACATCATCCACTACTACCACCACGACTCCTGCGGCAACGACTACCACCACGACGCTGGCGCCGACGACTACAACAACCACACCGACCCCTACAACTACAACGACCCTAGCACCGACGACAACGACCACCACGACGACGCTGGCACCGACTACTACAACCACACCGGCCCCTACAACAACAACGACTCCTGAGGAAACTACCTCCACCACCACATCAACGTTGACAACGAGTACGATTCCTGACGCACCAACTACAACAACAACTCCAACACCAACGACCACAACTCCAACGCCAACAACCACGACTCCAACTCCCACAACCACGACTCCAACTCCCACAACCACGACTCCAGCGCCGACGACCACAACTCCGGCACCAACAACCACGACTCCAGCACCTACAACCACGACTGCAGCGCCGACGACCACAACTCCGGCACCAACCACAACGACAGGAGCAGGACCCACGACAACCACCCCGAAAAAACCATACTATGGCAAGTATTACGGGAAGTACTACGGCAAATACTACGGCAAGTACTACTATGGAAGGCAGGGTCGTTTGCAAGTTTGGACACGTGCCACCTTAAACGTTCGTCATCAACCCTTGCATGTTGTTGGTAGACACGTGCAAAGGCGCCGGGGCAGCATGCTACATTTGCGCATTGGTATTTAGCCGCAGATTTTAGCCCCGTTGTGTCTGAGTGGTTCAGAGTCTTCTCCACCACCTCAACCCATCCAGATGAGTTTTAGGCCCGAGCTCAAGCCAAGATTGTACCATGTGCGACCAAACACAAGCAATGCTTGTACTGTATCGTCGTATCTGATCATGTGCACCCATACGGGACCACCATAGTTCTCATTCCAACACCAAATTAGCACAGGTGCATGTACAATCATGTACACAGAGGGCTTTTTTGCTTTCACTTAAGTGTAAATAACATATGTAGCATCATAGCACATATGCATCTCTATATCTATATATACAGTTATATACATATATGTACACTTGCTTATGTATATAGACAGACACTGGTCGACTCAACATGCGTACTTCGTGCACATACATATGCAAGATCCTGTGTGCGTGTCCTTATGGATGTGCATATGTATGTATATATATTTATATATATATGTATATATCCCCTACACCCCAACGATAGCAAGCCCCAAATCAACGAGCAGCAAACTTTGGCCTGAACCAATTGTAGCCTGCTGAAGGTACCACCCTCACTATCGCTGCGCAAGTTGGTGCCCAGGAATCCGTACAGTTTTAGAGGGCATTTAGAAGTTGAGATTTTTGGGCCCTGCAGAAGCAACCACTGTCGTGTTCTGTGTGATCTTGATTTTAATGGGTCGTTTACTCAGAGACGAACGTTTCGTGGGGTCTATAACCCAGGGTTCACGGTTCAGGGTTCAGAGCATAATGCTAGGGTGTGCGTTTCAGAGTCTGCACCTCGCATGCAGAGTTCAGGGCCAGATTAAGGTCTGGAAGTCGGACGTGGGCTGTAGGATTGCTGCTCAAGATGTATTTGTTTGGGATTAAAGTTCTAAGTCCACAGCCAACAATATCAAGGGGGGGCTGCGGTTCTTTACAGAAGAGGAAACCACACATTGCCGTGTCGTACTGACACATACTGCACTGGCTGTATCAGCAAATGTCCCATGATGAGTGATATCTATCTATCTATCTATCTATCTATCTATCTATCTGTCTATATCTATCTGTCTATCTATCTATGTCTATCTATCTACCTACCTACCTACCTATCTATCTATCTATCTATCTGTCTAACTATCTAT